AGTGAATGACATTTCCTGAAAAGAGCACTGAGAGTGCCCAGGAGAGAAAGGAGCAAAGGAGACTGAGAAGCATCAGATGAGGAGACTGTGGTTGAAGCCAAGAGGAGACTGGGCTTCGACAGAGAGCGAGTGTGCAGAGTGTGCACGGGAAAGCTAAATGAGACAGCGACTGGAAAGGTACCCACGGGAGTTAGCGACATGGAGGTTACTTCCTGCTTCAGCAAAAGCAGTTCTGTAGACGGTGGGGGCGGGGGAGGAGAGAAGTCATTAGAACAAGACGTGAGTGACTGGAGGTCTGGAAGGGGAGTCAGTGTGTAGATTGTTCTTTTAAGAGGCCTTGCTGTGAAAGAGCTTAGAGTCACAAGAGTCAGAGTGACAGCAAATGAGATCTGTGGGGTCCAGAAAAATATTTGAGTGTGTTTAAATACTCATGGGAAGGATGCAGAAAAGAGAGGGAATGAAGGTACCTGAGAAAAAGGAGACAAAGGATGGAGCACAATGCCTTCGAAGAGGGGAGGAGAGACTGGCCTTTGATGGATAGGAGGGGAGGCCGGGACAGCTCTGGGCAGGCGCAGACAGCAGAGCTTACGAAGTTAAAGGAACTGCATTCTGGTAGCTTCTATTTTCTTTGGGAAGCATGAGACTGAAATATTGTCTGAGGATTTGGGGGAGTGTGGCCTGAAGTTTGGAGACAGAAGGGACTATGTGAGAGTCATTATGTAGATTAGGCTTAAAAGACTAAAAAGACTTTTTTAATTGCAACAGAATTAAAAAAACTTCAAATACATTCCTTTAAATGGTAGCTTTGTGGAACATAACCGCCTACTTGTTGATTATTAAGTATTAAATAGACATGCTGGTTATGAAAAAGAGATAAGGAGGCCAGATTAATGAGATCCAAAGCTATAATTTGGACAAATGGCAGGTATCTGGACATGAGGAGGGCTGCCCTGCAAATGATACCTTCTAGAAATTGTTTCTGAACTTTCCAAACAAAAGCTGCTTTCATTCCCCTGGGCTCTCACAGCACTCTGTCTTCACACTGTCCTTTGTGACACAACAGTCCTATTAACCCTTTTTACACGTGTGCCTTCTCCACGCGCCATCCTCTGGGCACCTTAAAGGCACAAGCCCGTAGCCCACAGCTGAATCGTGCGGTGTGCCTTTCACTCAATGCTTGCCTCCTCTGAGCTGGTTGACTAAGTCAAAGAGGAAGTGTTATGTGATTTACACAGACTGGCCTTATACACGCTGAGGTAGACTCTCCTGGCATCAAGCGAGCTATCTTGGTAAGAACAAAGGATTTCCAGAAACAGCAACGTATCAGCAGATGGGTGGGTCGCACTCGGAAGCAGTGTGTTCTTTACGTGGATCACATCTCTCCTCTGTTTCACAATTTCAAGGAGCCTGATGCAGCCCAGCAAAGAAAATTCAAGGAAATGGAACAACCCTGTCTCCCTGCTCCTATTATTCTTAGATACAAAAGACAGATAATTATCTAAAGTATTTCTCAATATGAACAAGTTGGAAAAGTGACCTTTGAGTCTGTGACAGAGTCTACTCACGTCAGTGTTTTGACCAGAAGCAAAGCTATGTCCAGGCTTAGCAAATGCTCATGGGGGCCAACTTTTCTCTCCTTCACGTTATACAGACCATAAATAAAGGGAAATAGTTTAACAGGCAGCCAGGCCTGAATGGCTCCGAGACACCCCGAGGGAGTGATAAAATTCTCCCGTTGGTAGACTTACATAAACCAAGATGCAATGAATATTTTAAAGATACTCCCTTTGGTCAATAAACCTGATAGTTTTAAACCTGAAAGATGGCTAGACTAAGAGGGAAAATAAATCAATTTGTCAAAAATAAGTAATCATTTAAAGTGCTGGTAGATTAACTGAAACATAGGAATATAGGAGAGCAAATTCAGTGATTTAAAAATCACATGTTTGCTAGTTAGAAATCTCTGTTTCTAGCTTTTTGGCTGATTTTTAAACACATAAGATGAGCTGTATCTAGTGATCTGGCTACTGAATGCCAAAACTGGAGCTTCTGTTCAAGATCTGATTTGTTTATCTTAAAACAGAAAGAATAAATTTCAAAGTCTGAGACGTCCTAAATTTTTTTTCAGTCTTAATAGAGACATGTATTCCTGCCACTCAAAAATGTCCTCAAATGTAGTGGTTAAGAGGCTAAACACTGGAACCGGTTTGCTTAGATTCAAACCCTGGCTCTTGACACTTTTCAGCTGGGTAAGGTACCTCCTCTGTTCATTGCTTAATGCTGTTTTTTTGTTTTGTTTTTTTTTAAAGCTCACAAAAACAAAGAGGACAAGATAAAGACAGTTTGGAGGCAAGCAGGGAATCAATCGAAGAAGCTCTCTTGTCCAGTCCTGATCTCTGATAACCCCTGGGTTTATCAACAACACGCTTACACAAAACAGCACACTTTCTGTTCTATAGAACTTTTCTTCCTCCAAGATATCTATGCATATTAAAAAAAAATCTTCAAACACCTGCTTGAATGAAAACAAAGGACAGAGAAGAATAGCGGGGGGGGGGTTATTTTGTTGTTCGTGGGCAAGATCTGGATAAAAGGGTTGGAGGCATTTTCTGGAGCAAGGATTGTACTAGAATAAACAGCTTGAGCAAGAATAACAGTTTCCTTTTAGAAAAAAGGTCATCTTAAATATTAATGAAACAAATGAAAAATAAAATCTTAATTCTATGAAGAATAATTAGTTTTCAAATTATTTAGAGATCACTGCTTTTAAGAAAAATGACAATGCTAGTCAGATTATTTCACTTCACAATCTCTTTAGAAATTTTAATGTTTGGGAGAACTGCTTAGGGTTATGTATAGCAGGTGACATTCCTTGGAATTCTAAATCCTCTTATGTGTACTGGCCCAGCTTTTTTGCAGAGTTATAACATCTATTTATTGGTGAGGAGCCAGGTCTGCTGTGGTGCTGAGGATTAGTTGCAAGATGCTGCTACCCTCTTATTTATTAAAAGAAAGCAATCTCCATCAATCTTGGGAGATTCTGACCCTGGGAATAATGTCTCCCATGGCAACCCCATGACCTTAGGTAGCGAGCTAGCCATACTAATTTGTATTCATACCGTGTGGTGTTCTAGAATGCATTATGGGTTTCTAATGATGCAAGGAAGACTTTTATTAAAAAACAGTATGTGGGAACAAGTGGGAAAACTTCTTCCTGGTATGCGAATGCTTTATATGATCAACAATTCTGAATGTGTATTTCCAAAATACCAGAGGGATCCTCCAAAACTACAAAAGAAAACAAACAAATAAAATGGCTAATAACCATTTATCATATGTCCTGCTGTGCTGGGACAGTCCCAGTTAAGGCCTGTTGTCCCAATGTAATTACTAATGGCCTCCCTTTAAGTCTTATACATGGAATCATATGATCACCCTATAATAGCCAAGCATGTTGATAGAACCCAGCCCTTTGCAGGGTGGAGGGTATAGCTCAGTGGTAGAGTGAATGCTTAGCATGCATGAGGTCCTGAGTTCAGTCTCCATTATTTCCATTAAAAAAAAAAAGAACCCAGCCCTTTGGAGGAGTTTATTACTCCATTTGGGTATTGAATTAAACTCTGTTTCTGGGCAGTGCCTGCCATGGACAATACTGAGTTCTACATGTCTCACTACTTGATAGAAGGAAGCATATATGTTTGTCTGTATTTGTCTATAAAGATCTGTTTGTTCCAAGCCTATATTAACAACAATTTCTTGAATGTAGACTTTTTGGAACTTTGAAATTTAAAAAATTGAAATTTTGAATTTTGTCTGTAGAAATTCACAGGTAAATTTCTGTTTCTTACAGTGACCCTTTATGAACGCTTATAGCATCATAGACAGATTTCAGCTTTTTCAGGCTCTGGGCTAAGGCTGTCCTGCCAATGCTGTGGCCTTAGCTCTAAATGCCGCTCAGCCTCAAGTCAGTCCTGCTGCTGGTCCCACTCCCTCTCTGCACTTGAAGTCCTACCTGACCTCTTACCTTTTCCCTTGGGAACAAGCGCCTCCCTCGGATCCCTCTTTTAGCAACCGGGTCCCAGTCTGGTTCCCTGCTGCATGGATCTGTGCTTTGTTCCCCTACCTTGTCCTTTCTCTGGGGTTTCAGGGATCACTTTGCCTGATCGACACCTTTTCTACCTGGACGCCTAGCTGCTGTCAGTTATCATGCTCCTGATTATATTTTGCTTGTGTTCCTGACAGGAAGGATAAACATCCAGGACTTCTCGTCTTTGAACAGCTGGCACCCAGTGCAGATTCTCAACAAGCCATTAAGTGATGAATGAATGTGGAGGCTTCCTTCTCATTGCCTGGAGCTGGGTTTTCTCCCAAGTGCTACTTCCACCAGCTCTTTCCATTGCTGACAGGATTCAGGGAGCTAACGTTCACATTTATAACCCTGGGATGAGTTAACACAGGCATAGAGTTTAAAGAATGCTGGGGCCTGGGTGGTTGGTGTGTCCCTAATAGGGCAGCTGCCTAGGACCGTACAGGGTGGGTCTCAGTTGAGGCCGTGTGACTGGGGCTGAAATTCACACTGTGCTCCCATCGCTAACACTGGGCTCCGGGATTGGCAGCCTAGAGGAACTGGCTTTTTTTTTTCCAACTGGTTTGTTCAGAGAGGGCCCTTCGGCAATCCATCCCCCGCCCCGGGGGAGCCTCTCTTTCTCTAGTTTTGTACAGTGGCCCGTGTGTGCTGGAAGAGGCCCTCGTGGGAGATCACTCCCACAAGGAAATGTTTTAAGTTTTTGCAAGTGTAGCTATTAAGGAACAGGTACCTGTGATGGAGTGAATCTGCTATCTCCTTTCTTGCTTCTTGTTTCCTTTTATATGTAAAACCCAAAAACTTTGCTTGGACGTTCACAAAGACAGACTTCATCAGAATTTAATTTAGTACGGGAGCTGACTAACTTGGATTTTTTTTTTTTTTACTGTGCTGTTATATTACAGCAAACCCCCACCCCCCACTCCCAGGGAAGTGGATGATGCGCTTAGCCTTGAGTGAACCCCTGGAAGGCTCTTCCAGAGGATTTCCTCATATCAGCCTCATGTTAGCCCAGGATGATGCACGTGAAGAAAACCAGAGTGCAGGGAGGTGCTCTGCCTTGCCCATATGTACTTCTCTTGATGATCGAATATATATTTTTTTCAGTCTTAATAGAGATATGTATTCCTGCCACTCAAAAATGTCCTCAAATGTAGTGGCTAAGAGC